GGACCATATTTCCAGTGCCACAGCAGCAGCATCTCAAAGGCAGATGGATGAATGGGGACGTGGTCTGGCTCATGGCAGCAGCATCACTGGGAGGGCAGGAATGGCTGGTGCTGGGTTTGAGATGGGCAGTCGCGTTCACAGGTCTTTACTAAGGTGGTTCACAGCTTTGCAGCTGGAGAGTGGATGTTTCTTCTTGGGGTTCCCAGGCTGGGTGTGGGGGGGAAAGGGCTCTGGTCTGGTGTTTGCTGGGATTGCCTTTCTCTGGCACTCCCACAGGCCATGGAGGGGGCAGTGGGGCTGCCCCCAGCCAGGCTGCTCAGCTTTTGCATTGATTTACTGGTGGGGGGTGGGAGGGGAGAGAAAAAAAAAAAGCCTGCTTCTGATTTTTATTTTTTTTATTTTTCCCCCCACGATTTTCTTTTGGCTAGACCTACTCGCTCCCTCTAGTAAAGGTTCTCACAGGCACTCAGGGGAGGGAGAGCAAGAAAAGAGTCCAAATTAAGAGGCAGCAAAACGCAGGCGTCTGCAGAGCTAAAGCAGAGCTTTCCAGCACTGCTACTGTCCTGTCTGCTCCTGGCTTGGCCCTGGGCGGGAGGGGACAAGGATCATTTGACCTGCCTGAAACAACTCTATAAACTTGCGTTTTAAATGAAAATGGAAGACTGGAGTTAAGTCTTGTTTTACTCCTAAATGGGACGTGTGTTTTGTCTTGGCTTTCCAAATGGATCCATTCTAGGAACAGTGCTGGAGATCTGTGTGCTTGCTGGGACTTGATGGGTCCATCTCTGGTGGAGCAGTTTAGCAGCCAGCACCTGGAGCGGAGACCCCAGGTGTCTCCACCTGTGTCCCCTCGTGTTGCTATGTGGCTTTTGGCAAGCGTGCCCGTGCTTTAAATGGCTGTGCAACATCTGGCTGGCAATGGCTGAGCTAAAGCTTGTGGTTTCCCAAGGCTGCCCAAGGGTTGGGAACACATCTCTCCTGGTTATCTTACAGAAATGGGGCTTCCATGCAAAAGGATGGGTTGAAATGTTGACATCCATGCATGGGAGGGACACCAAGAATGTGAAATACAGCACCAAAAAAGGGTGGGGAGATGCTTCCTTCCACTGCAGCCACTGCTCCCTGAGGATGGTGTCCCTGGGCTTGGGACCTGCCGAGGAGGTGGGAGGAGGCTTATGTAGATCTCAGTTATTTCTTGCTTGCCTGAGTCTGCACATCTGTCCTGCTGAGGATTTTTGGACTTCAAAAAGCTAATTCTTGTTTGAATCTTATCAGCCCACTTGGGATGTGCCCCTGTCCCACGTCAGTCAGCTGCTCGCCTTCCTCTGACTCCCACCGCTGTCCGTCACTGTTCTTGGGGCTCAGCTCCTCTCCTGGTGGGTCCACACATATAGCAGCACCCGGGGCTGCCCGACGTCTGAAGCAGCACTCCCCCACCTCCTCCTACATTGTGGTTTTAATTAAAGTCTCTGTGTTTTGCACTGGTGACTGTGTTGGTCTCTCGGACTGGGGTTTGCTCCCGCGTTGGGAGCAGAGCCAGGGAAGCCGATGGCTGGAGCCTTCAGCACAGGGAAGAGGCTTTGTGGAGGCACTTGCTATGTCGGTGGTTGATCTCTTGCTTGCACCAAAACTGACTCATTATTTAACTGCATGAAGCAAGTATATCCAGTCTGTGTTTGTATCCTTCCTAGGTGTCTTTCTGTCGTAGAGTACGTATTATTTATTTATTTAACTTCTTTGCTGTGGCCACCCCCTTCTCTCCCAGCTTGGATTTGGCAGGTAGGTGATGTGCGAAGCCTGTTCCCAGGCCAGCAAATACCTCTTGAAGATCAGAGACACTCACAACCAAAGGACGTTTGAGCTTTGTTTCTGAGGCATGGTGAGAACTGGAACCTTTTCCTTCAGATGTTTTTCCTGTCCTGCTCTAGGGGCTGACTCAGGACTTCCAGCATCAGTTTAGCTCAGCAGCTTTGTTGAATTTATATAGAAAATGATACCTGGACCTTCTCATGAGCAGTTGGAGCTAGCCTAGATGTGCCTAGCAAATGCTAGTTTTCTTGTCACTGCGTTATATCTTCTCCGTCAACGCAGGCCAACTGTGTGAGTGCATGTTGCTAAAAGTGGCAGCAGCGTGGAGGGATGGATGGTGAGCAGAAATGTCATCTTGGATCACAGATGTTTTCTTTGAAGGAGCTTGAATTTGTCTTGAACGTGTCCCTTGGTGAACATGACGTGCAGTGAAGGGGAAGCAGACGTAGTCTGGGTTTCTCACCATCTTCCTGCTCTGCCCACTGACCAAGACAGTTTTTTTAAATTCAGTTTTCTGAACTGGATCCTTCGGGGTTGCGATACATCGGCCAGTTCGTGTTTGTGTTTTAAAGGCTGTTGCCTTTACACAGGGTGCGTTTCACAAATCCCCGTCAACCTATCCCCGTCTCTTTCTTCGCAGCCCTCCTTTATAAATGATCGTTCATGGCAGCCAGTAATAAATGAAGTAAGAGTTAAGAGAAACAGCCTCGTGCAGTGATAGTAGTAAAAGAATAAAAAAATAGAACTGTTTCATGCCATTGTTGCTGTGTTAACTTGTCCCTGGTGTGCGGCTCAGTTCCATTACGTAGTGCTGGGTTCCTGCTATTAAACAAACAAAGAAGTCCCCACTGCAGGACCAGCATTTGTTGAGCAGCAAAATCTGAGCTGGCAGTTTCCAGGATGAAGATGTGCTTTCTACCCCAAGGATCTGGTGTTGAACCATACAAGAACCCTGGACACCGCACTGCGTCCCTGCAACTGCGTTGACTTCTTTCCTGAGAGAGGGAAGGAGGCAGAAATGGGTGGGAGAAGGTGGAAGTGGTGGTTAACGATAAGTGCTAATGTAACCTGAACTCTCCCGCTGCCGACGTGCCAGTGGGAACCTTCAGTGATTGAGAAGCTCACAGGGATCTCGTTGCTGCTTCAACAAGGACTCTCCTGGCTCGGATGTAGAATTTAGCAGGGCTTTTGGAGGTCATATCATGCTTTAATAGCCAAGAGGAGAGATCTTCATCCTTTAACGTTGCTTTCCCTTCGGTGGATGAGCATTCTTCCCATTGACATCAGAACAAACTCTCTGAGCATCGGTGGGACAGACAATGTCTTTCCCTGGACTGATCTTGTAAAAGCTGTGCCAAACTTTAAACTAGGCTGAGCCAAATTGAAAAAGGGCTGCTTCCACGTGAGGTTTAGCGAGGGCTGAACCGTGATGGGCATCTTCAGCTTGGAGACAGGCTCATTCTGAGGAGCGCGAGGCTGTGAGCAGGCTTCGGAGGTTAGAGAAGGCTTTTGAGGGGGTGGAGTGGGTGCTTCTGCTTGCTATAAAAAGCCTGGGCTTGGGAATGTCTACACTGGTCAGCTCTACGCAGGGCGTAAATACAGTTGTCGCTAAAATTGGAGCGAGTCACTCCCCATGTTCCCAGTTGCAACTGTAACACAGATAATAAATAACATCGAAACCTCCCATCAGAATTTGGGTTCCTTAATGCTCGGTGTGTGCAAACCCATGGAACCAGGAGTGGGGTCTCGTGGGGACGGCGCTGCAGAGCCCTGTCACGCCGAGGTGTGTGTTTCCGTCCTCATCCTGGTTTGAGGTAAAACGGAACCAATTTTGGTCAGTAACTTCGCTTCTTAGCTGGGCCTCTCTAACAACTGAAATTAACAGCACGTTGTGCAGACAGTGTTCGCTCTCTCCGGGTGATCAGACCTGTGTTTATAGCTGATGCCCAGGCACGGTGTGCAGAGAGGCTCCTGCTTATACTCATTGCTATAACCCCCAAGGCCAACCAACTTTGTTGTTTGCCCCGTTGGAGGGTCGGAAGCGGAAAAGCGTAGTGGGGTCCCACCTGCGGGGAGGAGCGGACAGGACAGGTGACCCAAAACTGACCAACGAAGGGTATTCCATCCCATCTGCCTCATGCTCAGTGTAAAGATGGAGGATCAAAGGGTCAGCCCTCTTCCTTCAATGGCCGACGTCTGAGGAGGACTCAGTTCGTCTGCCTGCGATCCCGATCCTGAATGCAGATCCGAAATCCAGTTCCCGTCCGTCACTGAGTCCAGCCTGGGACTGCCCCAGTGCCAGCCGGTGTCGTGATTGTCATCTCGGGAGCTTGATACGGTTTTGTATATATTTCATTATTTCTTTTTATTTTATTATTAATATTCCATTAAAGTGGTTCAGTTCCTTCTAAACTCATAAGTCTCTTTTTCCTCCTCTGCCCCTCTCTGAAGAGGGGTAGAGGGGAGCATCTGTCGGTCCCATCTGGGGTCCCCCAGGTCCCCAGTAGCCGATTTGACCTAAACCACGACCGTCCTCCTGAGCACATACTTTCTTGCTTTTATAAAAATGGATTAAGGATGTGCTCAAGGATTTGCTGAGCAAAATAAATGGAGGAAGGAGAGAAAGCAGAGGAGCAGTTCCTTATCAGGTCTTCTATTTCTAAGACACCTGGGAGAGAGAAACCTGAGCAGACTG